CAAAACGTGCTTGCTCTCTACCGCCCTGCTGGCTTGCGTTGTATGACAGAGCAGTCCCTGAATGATTTACAGCCATGTTGCAAACAAAATGAGTTAGACACTTTTGACTGGCAGGTCTACATAACCAGTAGGTCTACATTATGAAAAAGCGAAACAGCTAGAAGAGGTATAAAAAGGAATGAAAATGTATTTAATTTTTCACAAACTTACTTTTATTCATGATGGAGAGGCTATCTAGATGCCATTAATGGTATCTGGAGAGTGCATATGCATTATTAAAGATTCTTTGTAGATAATAGTTTGAAATAAAACCATATAAATAGAGCAAAAAACATAAGTGTGATTTCTTTAAAGAAACTCAAAGCATGAGTAACATGCACTATGAATCTCAACCCTCTTCGGAATCTGTTCAGAAAGGTTAAAGATTTGCAAATCCAGCATTTTTACTGGCAGTTGAATAGCCCTGTTTGCCCTAAACCAATTGCCTGATGCTATCAGCAGGTCAGGAAGTGGAAGTAAGTAAGAGGACAAATCAAATATTGCTTAGTGTGTTTTCCTCTCATTTCAAGTTTTTTATCTCCTTTAAGTAGTTTGTAGCACCAATTCCTGCAAGATTTAAATTTTCCCTTTTCATTCCAAAATTCCCTTCATCTCTATTAATTTCTCAAGAAACCATAGCTGCCTTATTTAAAGAGAACAGTTCAATAACAACTTTCAAAAGGCAGAGGGAGAACAGCAAGGCAGCGCAAGCCTTGAGCTAGGGGCACAGACCCTGGCTCTCCAGGAGCCAGGTTTCATCCTTGACTGAGCAAATCTCCTTCCACTCTCTGCACTTCACCTTGCCTCCTTTGCATCTTTAGTTGCTAAGCTTTATGGGACCCTGTCCTCTCTGTGTGTTTGCATAGCACTTAGAATAACGATACCTTTGTCTCAGCTGAGACCTCTTAGAGCTGCTACAATGCAATATACTGCATTTTCTGTCTTTCAATACGTTCACAAAATCTACAGCATTTTATCAAGCCCTGACAGAACTTGTGGCGTGTCTCAGGAGAGGTTTTCCTGTGTTCAGCAACTTGTAGCATCAGGACTTTGATTTGAGTTAGCTACACCAATTGCTTAAAATGTCTCATTTCTTTATACTGTGGATTTGACTCATTCCTTTCTCCTCTTCCGACACTTAAAATCAATTAAATGTGTGTCTGGAATTTGCATCAACATCTATCGTGAGTTAACATTGTTTTAAACTAAATCAGACTGATTTTCTTATTTTCATTTGTGTCAGTGTCTCCAAAGAGGACTGATTGGTATTTTGTGTTGCTCTTGCCTTCTTTATATAAACAGAATATTAATTTCTTATGATCTGGAAAGAAACGAGCTTAGCAGAAGTATTTGTGTAGATGAGGAGCATTGCTTTGCTGATTCTTTGGAATCTGTCTTCCTATGCAAAATGATGATTTTTATTCTTACATTAGGCAGTACGTAGTATGTTAGGGCACGTGATATGTGCGTGTGTGTGCTTGCATTTTCTTTGTGATATAGTGAGGTATTGGCTCTAGCTGGTGCAGAAAAAAGTGCTCAAATATATTCTACTGATTGACCAATTCCTCAGTGTAGATATCACACCTATAGGCCCAGGATTCTTGAAGAGTGAATTGGTTTTCTTAACGTTGTTGACTGACAACAGCTTCAAACTACAGCCATCAAGCAGTTACCTACATGGAGTGCACAGCAATCGCGTTGTCTTGGAGTATACGGTTACCTTTATAATGGATACTCGCGCATCGCAGAGCGTTTCACTGTTAATTCTATGTTCTTTGCTGCCAACTCTGCGCACACGGGGACTATTGGGTCAAGCAGCTCTTTCTGGCTGTGCACGCTCCAGTAGGGGAAGTCAATCTTATGATACTGCAGTGTAAAGCTGCTCTGCAGACTATTAGTTTCATAGCCACAAGCTAGAGCATCGTTGTATTGCTTTTCCATCTTACGTTAGGTGTAAGTTACCCTGGAGGAGTGTTTGTGAGCCTCTTTTCTGCCTGACCTTTAGAGGAATACATCAACCATCTAAGGCAATATC